AACAACCAGGTACCTGCTCTTTGCCACAGGGGAGGCCCTCAGGCCGCCGTATCGGGCTCCTAGCCACACTGTCCCGAGGGCACTCTGCTCAGGTCTCTCGCTCAGAGTGACACCACTCAGCTGTTCGGAATGTCCGTGGTTTTCTTACTGTAAAAAAACTTGATGACACAGAGACTCAAAGTGGAGAAATTTTCATTACCCTGTTTAAGATAGTGATGTTTAGAATATTTTTTTCTAGACCCACAAGAGTATATAGATGGCTATTATTTTTTAAAAAACTCGGATCACACCCACTTCTTATTTTTCTCACGTCATTGTCACATACTCTTAAAACGAGTTTAGTGGGAATATCCATTATAGATTGCTTCACAGAATACACTTGCTGTGTTCTTAGGCTTTTAGGATTCTCATTTTTCCTGTTTCAGGTAAGGCTGTGATGGACATTCTCGTAAGTACATATTTCTGCACACCTCTGCTCCACGTCATTGTTATCTATCTGTTATTTCCTCCGCCAGCCATATCCGAGGGTGCACGTCACCAGCTCGTGTGAACTTTCGTAGAATAAATGTGACCGCTCTGCGTTTCCCTAAATGCTAACAGCATTAGCACTTTTCCGTGACACTAGTCGTCTGCGTGTCTTCTTGTATGAAGGGTTTGTTGAGAGTTTTGCCTAGGGGCGGTGGTGTTTGTTGTTTTATTAAAATTTGAGAGTCGTCTACTGATTCTGGATGCAAGTCTCGTCAGAGATGTGTTTTGTAAAGATTTTCTCCTAGTCTGGGGTTTATCATGATCATTCCCTTACCAGTATCTTTCACAGAGTACAATTTTTATTTTGGTGAAGTTCAATTTATGAATTTTTTCTTTTTACGGATCGTGTTTTTGGTGTCAGATCTAAGAAAACTTTGCCTTACCAAGGTCACAGATTTTCTCCGTATCTTGTAAAAATTTCTTAGTTTTGTGTTTTATATTTAATCTATGGTATATTTGGAGTTTTTTTCTCGCTCATAAATATCCAGTCGTTCTAGCACAGTTTGTTGAAAGGACTTTCTTTTGTTGAAATGAGGTGACCATGAACACGTGGGCCTTCGTGAGTCTGTCCTTTGCCAAACCACACTGTCTTGACCCCGTAGCTTCGTTGTGAGGCTTCAAACCAAGCCGTGTGCGTCCTCCAACCTGGCTGCTGTCCTCAGCCGTTCTGCCTTTCCGGATGGTTTGCTGCGTCATGAGAGCTTCAGAACCTGTGTCCATCCCCGCGGAAACTCATGCTGTGTCTTGATGGGAAATGCGCCGAGTCAGTAGGTCTGTTTGAGAAGAATCACAGTCAGAACAGGGTCGAGCCCTCCAGTCTGAGAATACAATGGGTCTCGCCACTTAGATTTTCTTTTTTCTTTACGCCCAGAGCACCTGGGCTTCCTAGGTGGTCTCCCATCCAAGTACTAACCAGGCCCGACCCTGCTTAGCTTCCGAGATCAGCCGAGATCGGGAGATCGGGAGATCGAGCGTGTTCAGGGTAGCATGGCTGTAGACTTAGATTTTCTTTTGTTTGGCTCATAGGTATTTTGTAGTTCTCAGCACACAGATCCTGCACGTGATTTGTTAGATTTATACCGGAATATTTTATTATTTTGGAGCTATTAATAGTACTTTAAAATTTTTTTCTAATTGTTACTAGGATATAGAAGTAACTTAGTTTTACATTTTGTACAACTTTATTAAACTCAAAAACTTAGGTTTCTCTGAGGAGTCTTTGGAATATTCTGTACAGATGTAATCGTGTGGTCCAGTTGGAGAGTTTATTTCTTCCGTTTTGGTCGGTGTGTATGTGCTGTGTGTTTCTTTTCCTTGCCTTACTGCACTGGCAGGGAACGCATCACAGTGTCACGTGGGCGATGTGCAGGCTCTGTCCCTGTCCCCAGTCTTAGAAGGGAAGCGTTCAGCCTGTGGTCTGACCTGGTGATAAATGGGGCGCGGGGCTGTGGGGTTGTGTGGGTGTCTTTTGTCAGGCAAGGGGACCTCCTTCTGTTCCTAACACGTGGACAGAGAATCGGGAATGGACATCAACTTTCGTCATATACTTTTCTGCATCTCTTAAGGTGGCCGTGTAGTCTGCTAATGGTGGTTGTTTTCTGAATATGGAATTTTCGTGTCTGTTCCTGAGAGATGTTGGTCTGTAGTTTTGTCCTACCGTCTTTCTGGTTTTGATATTAAGGTGATACTGGCCTCATAAAATAAGTTGGAAAATGTTCCCTCCTCTTCTGTTTTCTGGAAAGGTTTGTATAGAATCGATACTATTCGCTCTGTAAATGTTTAGTAGAATTTGCCAATAAAAGATTTCTGTAAATGTTTAGTAGAATTTGCCAATAAAAGAATTTGCCAATAAGAGTTTTCCGTATGGGAAAGTTTTTTTTTCCCTCTGTCCTCAGTTTTCAGAAGTTGGGCCGTGTGTGTCTTAGCCCTGGCCCCCACGTGCCCTCCAGCACCATGCCCAGCAGCGTGTCTCGTGCCCCCTGCCCAAGCTGTATGTCCCTTGCAGATCGGCTTCACCACGGACCCACGCATGGCCCGCTCCTCACCCTACCCCACCGACGTGGCCCGCGTCGTGAATGCCCCAATTTTCCACGTGAACTCTGACGACCCGGAGGCTGTCATGTACGTGTGCAAAGTGGCTGCCGAGTGGAGGAGCACCTTCCACAAGGACGTGGTAGTCGACCTGGTGAGTGACTCGGGCCCTGTCCCGGGGCGTTCCCAGGCCGTTCTCGTTTCGTCTCACGTGACGGTCCAGGCAGCTGTAGTGTGTGGAGGAGCGATAGACAGGACCCTGGGCCTAGCGGTAAACCCGATGCCGAGCCCAGCCCCAGGGTCCCTGACACCGGTAGGTAAACCGAGGCCTCACCCGGGAGGGCCGGGCCCGGCCTCGCAGATGCCGAGCCCAGCCCCAGGGTCCCTGACACCGGTGTCCGGCTGCCCCTAGGTGTGCTACCGGCGCAATGGCCACAACGAGATGGACGAGCCCATGTTCACGCAGCCACTCATGTACAAGCAGATCCGCAAGCAGAAGCCGGTGCTGCAGAAGTACGCGGAGCTGCTGGTGTCTCAGGGCGTGGTCAACCAGCCTGAGTACGAGGTGCGCGCGCCGGGCCCTGTCGAGCTTGGGGGCCAGGCCAGCTCCGGGCCGGCGCTCTCGGCAGAGCCGCTGTCCCGGTGAGGACGTGCAGAGTGCTTGGCGCTGCGGCGCTGTGCCGCATGGCTTCTCCGACGGCACAGCACTGGGCGGTGGCGCCGTGTGCCTTTCTAGCTGGCAGTGCGGTGTTTGGGGTGAGAGGTGCCGCGGGCCCTGCTCGGAGCGGGGCCATGCTGGGTGCTCAGGGGCGGGGCTGGCAGTGGCTGCGTGGCAGGTGGGGCTGCGGCCGGTGCCCATGGGGACCGCCCTGACGCCCGTGGGGCCGCCCTGCAGGAGGAGATCTCCAAGTATGACAAGATCTGTGAGGAGGCCTTCGCCAGGTCCAAGGACGAGAAGATCCTGCACATCAAGCACTGGCTGGACTCTCCCTGGCCTGGTGAGCGGGGCGTCACGCGGGGTTTCCGCGTCAGGAGCCTCCACGGGCGACGCTGCAGGCCTCTTCACGGTGCTGGTGTGGCCGCGGGGCGGGACTCGCAACGTGCGCCACAGCCAGCTTGCCCCTCCTGTCCTAGGCTTCTTCACCCTGGACGGGCAGCCCAGGAGTATGTCCTGCCCCTCCACGGGCCTGGCGGAGGATGTCCTCACGCACATTGGGAACGTGGCCAGCTCTGTGCCCGTGGAGAACTTCACCATCCATGGAGGCAAGGACCCCGCACTGACCCTCGGAGACCCTCTCCAGCGCAGGACCGGCTTCCCCGCCGCAGTCCTCACTCACCCAAGGCAGGGGGTTGATGGTGGGGAGCCCGCTCCCCTCCCCACCGCCGGGCGTGGCCCTCACTGGTGTCAGTGGAGGGAAAGGTGGGACGTCCAGCCTCTCCCTGGCCTGTCTCCACGGGCGCCCCTCCCCGCCCTCCCGACAGGGCTTGCTCAGCTCACGGGAGGGCAGGGACGGCTGGCGAGCACCGTGTCTCTGCAGGGCTGAGCCGGATCCTGAAAACCCGCGGGGAGCTGGTGAAGAACAGGACTGTGGACTGGGCCCTGGCGGAGTACATGGCCTTCGGCTCCCTGCTGAAGGAGGGCATCCACATCCGACTCAGCGGCCAGGACGTGGAGCGGGGCACCTTCAGGTAAGGCGCTCGCGGGCCCTGGAGCATAGGTGACAGCGCAGGGCTCTGGCGCTCCCGTCCCCAAAGAAGACGGCCCAGGCCCCGAGCACGCTGTCCCACTCGATGTGGCTGCGTCGCAGGAGCCGGGCTCTGTGGCTCCCAGGCCACTGCCTGTGCGGGGTCTGTGTGTCGCACAGGGCCAGCTGGCTCCTGCCTGCTCATCTGTGCTGTCCTGCTGCAGCCACCGCCACCACGTGCTACATGACCAGAACGTAGACAAGAAAACCTGTATCCCCATGAATCACCTGTGGCCCAACCAGGCTCCCTACACCGTGTGCAACAGCTCGCTGTCGGAGTACGGCGTCCTGGGTGAGTGCCCGGCGCACGGCCTCGCCCCCGCCCTGCCCCCGCCCCTGCAGCGCCCTGACGCCCTCGCTCCGCAGGCTTCGAGCTGGGCTTCGCCATGGCCAGTCCGAACGCCCTGGTGCTCTGGGAGGCTCAGTTTGGCGACTTCCACAACACAGCCCAGTGCATCATCGACCAGTTCATCTGCCCTGGACAAGCCAAGTGGGTGCGACAGAACGGCATCGTGCTGCTGCTGCCGCACGGCATGGAGGGCATGGTGAGCCCGGGCCTGCCCTCCGGGGACCTCGCGATTACCTCTTAAAGCCGAGCGGTGGAAACCGGTCGGAGCCAGGAGTGCGGGCGCTGGCCTGGCGCGGTCGCCCCTCGGCGCCGGGGCAAGGGGGGTTGCCGAGGCGGGGTCGGGGAGCGGAAGCCGTGCGCACGGCCGCCACCGTGACTCACGTCTGGTTCTAGGGCCCAGAACACTCCTCCGCGCGGCCCGAGAGGTTCCTGCAGATGTGCAACGACGACCCGGACGTCCTGCCGGTGAGTGGCGGCACCCTGCCCTTTGGGTGGGCGGGCCGGGCGAGAGCACGGCGCCTCCTGCTGGGGCATGGACTCGCTCTGGGAACAGCTGCCAGAGTCACACATGCTTCGGGGGTGTCGGGGCTCGGCTCCGTGAAACTTGGATGGCCGAAGGAAAGCGAGGCGCGGTCAGTGTGCGAGGGAGCCCAAAGCCGGCTGTGGGCAGCGGCGATCAGGGTCCTGAGCAGGATTAAGAGCGGGGCCGATGGGGCAACTCTGGTCAGGGTCCCCTCACACGCCCTGAGGGCCCCTGGCCGTCACCTCCTCGCCATAGGACCTCACGGAAGCCAACTTTGACATCAGCCAGCTGTACGACTGCAACTGGGTGGTCGTCAACTGCTCCACGCCCGGCAACTTCTTCCATGTGCTGCGCCGGCAGATCCTGCTGCCCTTCCGGAAGCCGGTCAGTGGCGCTCCTGCTGGGGGGCCGGGCAGCCCCGCGGGAGGCTAGCCATGTGAGCAGGTGGCCGTGGGTGGCACGCTGAGCCCCAGCAGGGGCTGAGGGGGCTGGGGCTCCCCAGGGAGTGGGCTCCTGCGTGGTGTCCAGAGGGCGAGTGGGAGCAAGAGCAGAGTTCGGGGGAGAGCACCTGGCTCCCACAGGTCCAAGTGCAAGGCCAGATGGGCCCACAGCACAGGACAGCTGCCCCGGGCAGGGCCGCCAGAGCAAGGCTCAGGGCTCTCTCTTGGGTGCAGGTTGGGGATGCCTGGGGCTCAAAGCAGGCTAGATGGGCCCTGGAGAAGTGGGTGCTTGACCGAGCAGGGTCCAGCCCCCCGGGGTGGAGGAGAGCCAGGCAGAAGGAAGCAGCATCGTCCATTTCCACTCTGCGACCCCGACCTGTGCCTCGTCTTGATGGCACAGTGGGGAGGACAGTGCTAGAGCGTCTGAGGACGAGACCCGGACAGCCCCTGACCGCTGACCCTCCTAGAACACTTCGAACCTGGCCCGACGTGAGCCTGCGGTTCTCTATTTCAGTTGATCATCTTCACCCCCAAGTCCCTGCTGCGGCACCCCGAGGCCAGGACCAGCTTCGATGAGATGCTTCCAGGTGGGTGAGCGGACAGGCCTTGCGGGGTCTCGGCTGCTGCTGTGGGGCTTTGGGACACGTACCTGTGCATCTCTCTGTGGCCTTTGCCACATTTTTGGTCTTTGGGTAAGGATCACAGAACACAGGCATCAGACTTGGTGACAAAGTATGTCTTGGGGTTGCACGAGTCTGTCGTCTTCTCCTGGGTGCGTGCCCAGGACCCCTTTAGAGGCTTCCAGGAAACAAGGCTGAGTTTAGAGTCCCCCACCGCCTGGCACTGCTCCCAGAGGCAGCTCCCTGTAGCCAGGGACAGGAAAGGCACAGGAGTAGGACCTGCCAAGTCCCACGCCAGCTTGCTGTTTCAAGGGCAGGCCCACGGCCTTGGGCTTCTTGCCCGAAGAGGGGACAGCAGGTGGCTGACACCATGTGGGGCAGCCCCGATGTGCCTCGGCTCGTGGGGCCAGGGGAACCCACCCGCTCCCAGCCATGGGCAGCTCAGTCTTCCGTCAAGGCCGACTTCCTATTTGTGTTTCTCCCAGTGTTTTGTGGTTGTGGTGAAATACACATACAAACGTCGTCATCTTAACCACGCGCATTTCAGCATGTTAAGCACATTCACGTAGTTTTGCAGTCATCACCACCGTCCATGCTCCTAGTTCTCTTCATCCTCCCGGACTGGGACTGTCCCAGTCAGCACCGATGCCGCCTCCTCCTCTGCCATCTACTGCCTGTCTCTCTGGTCTGACTCCTCCAGGAACCTGCTAAAGGTGGATTCAGGATTTGTCCTTCTGTGATGGGCTTATTTCACTCCGCACAGTGTCCTCCAGGGCCGACCACACTGCAGCCTGTCAGAATCCCCCTCCTGTTTAAGGCTGAGTGATACCCCACGGTGCGACACACCGCACGTGGCCATCCATCACCGGTCCCTGGACATCCAGGTTGCGTCCGCCTTTTGGCTGTCCTGAGTCACGCTGCTGTGAGCATGACCACACCGACACCTCTGAGACCTGCATTCAGTTCTTTCCTGTACACACCGAGAGGCAGCGCTGCAGGGGTCGCGTGGCCGCTCTTTAGTTGTTGGAGGGGTGCCGTCCCATCTCCACGGCGGCCGCAGCCGCTCACATTGTCACCGGCGCGCAGGGGTGCCGCTTTCTCCACATCCTGGCCAGTTTTTTCTCTGTTCTTTTATAATAGTCACCCTAATGGCCACAGAGTAGTGTCTCCTTGCGGTTTTGATTTGTGTTTCCTTAAATGACGTGGAACATCTTTTCCTGTGCTTATTGGCTGTTTCTGCATCATCTTTGGAGACATGTCTAAGTCCTTTGTCCGTTTTTTGATAGTGTGTTTTTTGTTGTTGAGTTTTAGTTATTTCTAAATGCCGGGTATTAATTAATACCTTATCAGATATATGAATTGCAAAAGTTTTGTCTCATTCTGTGTGTTGTCTTTGGATGCACCAAATTTTAAAATTTTCATAATCAAATTTGTCTTATTTTTTCTTTCGTTGCCCATGCCTTTGGTGTCATATCCAAGGAATCACTGCCAAATTCAGTGCTGCGAAGCTTTTGCCTGGTGTTCTTCTCCGAGTTTTATAGTTTCAGTTCTTACGTTTAAGTCTCTAATCCATTTTGAGTTCATGTTCGTATGTGGTATAAGGGTCCAGCTTCATGTGCACAGCTGTCCAGTTTTCCCAGGACCACTTGTTAAAAAGACTGTCCTTTCCACACGGTTTGATTATTGCAGCTTCGTAGCAGGTTTTGAAATCAGAAAGTGTGAGTCCTCTAGTTTGATTCTTTTTTTAAATAGTTTTGGCTATTTGGGGTCCTTTGAGATTCCACAAATTTTAAGATAGATTTTCCTCTCTTTACAAAAAATGAGATCGTGATTGGATTGCACTGACCCTGCAGATCACTGCGGGCGGTGCTGACATCTCGGCAGCGTTGAGTCTTCTGGCCCATGGACACAGGTGTCTCTCCACTTCCTGGTGTCTGTGTCCGTGTCTTCCAGCAAGTTTTGTAGTTTTCAGTGTACAGATCATTCATTCACCTTGCTGTTTAAATTTATTCCTAAATGTTATATTTTTATGCGATTTTAAATGGGATCATTTTCGTGTTTGAAACTAATTTTTAGAACGCATCTAGAGATACACATGTGGGAGTTTGCAGAAGGACACGGAAGTAGGTGCTCGCTTTCTGTTGTAAAAAGATGGAGTCGTTTTCTCCTTCGTTTTAGGTGGTTCGTCGTTACCGTGCGGAGGTGCAGCTGAGTTCTCACTCTCGATTTTTTATCCTGAAACTGCTGAATGGTTTTTTGTGGGATCTTCAGGGTTTTCTACACACAGTATCACGTCATCTACAAATATGATTTTCCTCTTTCTGCGATTCGTATGCCTTTTACGTTCTGTTCTCGCGCAGCTGCTCTGGCTGGGACTTCAGTGTGTGGTGACTGGAAGTGGGAGTGGACGCCTTGTCTTGTTCTTAACCTTGGAGGAAAAGCATTCGGTGCGGCCACCGAGACGATGCTCGCTGGGCTTCGTCCCTGGCCTTTGTCACACAGGGGCTGCTCCCTTCCGATGCTGGCGCGTTGCGTGCCCATCACTAAGCCCTTCGTTTTGGACGCAGCCTCCCGAGGTCGGCTCTGTGCCCGTGGGCACGGTCCGGCCGTGTGCGAGTGTGCGCCTGGAAGCTCCCGAGCGCGCCCAGCAGAGCGCCCTGATGCCGCCCTGGACAGAGCAGCCCCCCACGTCCGAGATGGGCTGCTCTGAAACACCAGGTGCCGTCACCTGCCACCTACGCCGGTCTTGCCCACATGGCCTGTTTTTAATGCGCGCTTCCCATCGCCATCGGTCCGGACCGTTTGGAGACATCAGAGGCTGGCGGGAGGGGCACAGCGCTGGCACTTGGCTGCAGGGCCGTCACTCCGGCACCGCAGCCGCGGGAGCACCCTGGCGTCCTCAGCCAAGTCCCTGGGGCTTCTCTCACAGGAACCCACTTCCAGCGGGTGATCCCAGAAGATGGCCCCGCAGCCCAGAATCCAGGAAACGTCAAGAGACTTCTCTTCTGTACCGGCAAGGTGTACTACGACCTCACCCGAGAGCGCAAAGCCCGCGACATGGTGGAGCAGGTGGCCATCACGCGGATAGAGCAGGTGAGGGCCGCCGGCGGCTCCAGGCGTCCGGACCCTGAGCTCTTCAGGGGGCCACTCTGAGCCTCTCTGCTGACACCAGCCCCTCCCTCTCCCCAGCTGTCCCCGTTCCCCTTCGACCTCCTGCTGCAGGAGGTGCAGAAGTACCCCGAGGCCGAGCTGGCCTGGTGCCAGGAGGAGCACAAGAACCAGGGCTACTACGACTACGTGAAGCCCCGGCTGCGGACCACCATAAGCCGCGCCAAGCCCGTGTGGTAGGCTGGGGCCGGGGCTGGGGACCGGGTCCAGGCCACTCCGTGGCCTTCGCCCTCACCGCCCCGTCACCGCCCCTCAGGTATGCTGGCCGGGACCCGGCGGCGGCTCCAGCCACTGGCAACAAGAAGACCCACCTCACAGAGCTGCAGCGCCTACTGGACACTGCCTTTGACCTGGACGCCTTCAAGAAGTTCTCGTAGCTGCCGGTGGCCTGGTCTCCGCGCCCACGCCTGCCCCCGCTTCTCACTAAAGACCTGTGCCTCGGCGCTGCCCGCTCCCGTGTCTGCCCCTGCACTGCACGCGCCGCTCGCTCACCTAGGAAACAGGCCGCTGTCCCCTCCCGTGCCTGGCCGTCCACACGGCCGGCACTCCCCAGGCTCTGACGTCTGTCCGGCAGTGGCCTTCGTGGGGGTGCGGGGCGAGAGGACCAGGAGC